AAAAAAAAAGTATAATTAAACAAGATTATAATACAACAGACGGATATTATAAATGGGTTCGTCGGGTTGTGAGATTTCAGAGGTAAGACTTAAGAGTGATGCGAAAGAGGAAGACGAGAAAGGGGGCAATAAAGCGACAGTGTGAGTTGCAGGAAAATTGGGTCTTGAAAATATGCCATAAAACGGTAAAAACGAAAGGGTTAATAAGTGCAGATGTGAGACGGTAAATTCAGTGAGTGAAAGGGTTAATCTTGATCCAAGAAGTGATGATTTTTGGGAGGTTATAATATGATGTTCGAGGATCCATTGATTGTTAATTGCTGTCGAGATAGCAAATTATGGTCAAGCTCTCGGGTTTCTTGGAATAGGGAGATGCAGATAATACATACCCACAAACACGTGCGTATAGAGAATTGCTGGGGGAAGTTTTATGATTTTATATTCTAACTTTGATTATTTTGATTGTAAATATGAAATTTATATGAAAATTAAATAAATGAAATGCTTATAATTTATTTTATGAAATTATCAATTAAATATGTTTGATTGATTTAATTTTTAATTTAAAAAATATTATATTTGCCCATTTTTTATTAGTGGGTAGAAAAGTGAGACTGGATGAATGAGAGAGAGTGAATGAATTCTCTGAAAAATAAATCATACTCCTCCTAAAAAAATTATTTTCCTTCAGAAGTAAAAAAATGTTTTCTATGGAAAAATTGTCAATCAAACAGCACAAACATAAAAAATTTGGATGGAAAAAATATATTTTCTATGAAAATATTGGCAATCAAACACACAGTGAGAGTATGTTTGATTGACATGAAAAATATCATCTAAAAAAGAAAATATTTTCCTTGTTTTGAGAAAAATAAAAACTACCTCCACCCAAGGAAAATATTTTCCTCAAAAACAAGGAAAATTAGGCATATTTTCAAAAGTTGGAAAATGTTTTTCATGAAAAAAAAATAGCAATCAAACACTCCAAGTAGGAATTTGGATAGAAAACTGATATTTTTCATGGAAAATAAATGTAATCAAATACACCCTTAGTGTCTATTAGACAATCATTAATTTATTTTATAGTTTATTATAGATCATTTTCAATCACACATTCACATAATAAAATATTTTACACGTATATAAAAAAATTCACTTTTTAGCCACACATTTTCTTAAAAATCGCTATTCATAACTCATTTTTCAACAATAATATATGTCAAACATACTCTTACTAGCATACCTCTTTCTCGCAGTAAGATACGAACAATATGATTTTGAAATCAGCCATAAGAAAATGCTGTCTTTAGATGATGGAGAAGATGAGAAGCCTTGGTTAGGAAGACAGCAGTTTGAAAAGGTAAGATAGGAAAGATGGTCAAAATAAAAAATAGATGTAGTCCCAATAGAATGTACGTATTTTTTTTATTTCTTTTTTTTTTCCCTTTTTTTAATTCTTAAGTAGCAAAGAAAACCGCTAATAATTTTGAAGTTTTTAATATTCTTACTGTGGCAGCAAAGCAAAATTGATCTCGAATAGAAGGATTTTGTTCAAGAAGTCGTCGAAAATGTTAATTTTTGATTTAAAAGACATTAATTCTTTTAAGTTAGTTCAGAAATACAGATATTAATAAAAATAATTAATTAATTAATTACTTAATCTTTCTCCACTACTCTTATGGCTACTTCAATTTTCATCTCAGGTGGAGAGAAAAAAAAGTTGAAGAAAATTGACTGTTCGTATAAAAGTGAAAAGGAGAGTAAATGGAAGTCAGTTGGCGAGGAAGAAAAAAAGAGGGGATGAAACAAGGGTGGACGCGGACATTTTGAGTTAGGGGCACAATCAAACTTGCAAAAAATTTGGGATGAATTTTTCATTCAAAACTTTACATCCAAAAAAAATTTTCATCCATGTAATTTTACATCCAACGATTCACATGGTTATGACTTTTTCGGATGTAAAATTTCGAAAATTTTTGATGTCACATCCATGTAATTTTTTTAATAAAATAATGTAAATTATATTGATAATTTAGGCGATTTGTGGATTTGGTTAGTATACGATCGTCAGAGAATTTTAAAGTTAGCACGTTAAACTCTCGAAATACTTGTTTGAAATAACTTACTTTGACAAGTCGTAACATTTGCTATGGTTGGCTATTTTGATCGTCATTAATAACATAGAAAACTAGGCTATGAATACCTCGAAATGATATTAATAATGTGATATTTCGATTCGTTTGACATCTCCTAATAACTTTGAAAATTGAGACAAAAAACATAGGGAAAAAAGTTAAAAAAATAAATTGGCCCCAAAGTTGGGGGTCACGTGACCCATGCTCACCCCTCTCTCCACCCATGGGATAAAACGAGCAGCGCGAGATCAAGGAAGCATTGCATGGTGAGAACTGACTATAGATGGGGCAAAGGGAATTATATAAAAATAAGCAAAAGATGAGAAATTAAAGTTTTCTCAACCCTCCCACCACCACCTCAGTTTGCTATTACGGGGAAAGGGCGAGAAAAATGGAGAATAAGAAGGTCGTACAAAAATGGAATAGAAAGTAGTAAAGGAAAGCCAATTGGGAGAAAGAAAGAAAGAGTGAAATTAGTGGGAGGGTTTAAGAATCATGAGGATGGTGAGAATGGATGATATATGAGGCAAAGGAGAATGAATAAAATAAACTAAAAAGACAACCCTACTACATAAATAGGTTCAGTGACAGAATTTAAAATAGGGGAACACATGTCATTTTTTCATTTGACAGTTGAAAAAAAAGACCAAATAAGTGCTTCCACATAGCACCAGTCACCAAACCCTATTCTTTTTCCGTGTTTGAGTAGCTTTATTCCAAGATAGATAAGAAATTAGAATTTATTTGCTTCATTAAAAATGTCATTTTTCTATTCAAATTCTTATGTCTATGCTATTTGATTGATATTTTTTCCATGAAAAATATTTTCTTACTTTTAATCACGTGACTATATTTTCTTTGAAAACAAGAAAAATATTTTCTTTAGGGAAAGTATAATTTTATTTTTCAGGTAATTCACTCTCTCATTCACTCTCTCATCCACTCACCAATAAAAAAATGGATAAATATAATATTTTATAAGTTGAAAACAAAATTAATGAAACACATTTAATTGACAATTTTCATGCAAATAATTTCTAGACAATTAAATTGTCTAGAATCTGTATTCTTTCCATGTAAATTCCATAATTTGCAATCAAACACACTTTTAAAGTTTTCTCCACCATTGTCATTTTATGTAATGTGAAGAAAAATGAAAAATAAAGAAGGTTTGCATTATAAAAGAAAATAGAGTAAAGGGAAGCTAGATGGCGAAAAATCTGAAAGTTGTAAACAAACGTTAAAATTTCAGAAATCTGGATGGCTTACAACAATTAGGGTATTCAAATTACTTTCAGAACTGTAGTCGGATCGAGATTATCTAGGTTCCTAAAACAAATTCATTGGAAACCGTTTTGCAGAATTCTAGTAGGGATGAATATTGTCTGGAGGACAACATGGTAATTCGCGTGCCTCCTGCTGCCATCATAATTTGCTATTTTAGGTAATGTGAGAGGAAAATGGAGAATAAGGAAGACTGGTACGAAAATTAAAAAGAAAGTAAAGCGAAGTCAGTTGGCAAAGAAGGAGAATGAGAAGATGAAACCAATAAGGTGGTCGAGGAATCATATGGATGATGAGAAGCGACGACAAAGGGGACGAAGGAGAATAAATAAGGCTGAATTGGATTGGGGGCTTGACCTTTGGTTCGTAGTGTAGTAGTGATGGCTGGGCATTGTGCTCGTAAGCCTATTGCAACGAATTAATTATTTTGAAAGGATTTATTAAAGATTGATTCGTGACCGTTGATCTTCATTTAATGATCTATCGGACCAGATTTGAGCAGAGTATGACTGTTACTGTTGGGATTTGAATTTGTTGTGATGTCTCTTTTTAAAAAGGGTTGGTTGTTATACAAGAGTAGTGTCTGTGCGGAAATGGTGTCTTCAAGTCTATTTATAATGTAAGAAATCACTTAAAATAACAACAATTTCTCTCTCTCATTTTTACATAATCATACATATATTTGCATGAATAATACTACGTATACATAAATAGATACATAATGATTTACATACAGATAAGGTGTCAAAATGAGAATGGAGAATTTTTATTTATTTATTTTTAAATTTAGTTGAAAAATTTTTAACTCACTACATGTAAACCATTATATAAATATATTATATACATATGATTAGAAAACTTTGAAATTGTAATATTTTGTTATATTTCAAAAAATTTCGAAGGCCTGTTGTAATTATCTTCAGAAGTGCAGTCTGCAGATAATTAGGCTCCATTGTACCATGAAGGGTATTCGCTATAAACCCATTTTTACATAAATGGGAGATGATAATATTATCTTAATACACAATTTGCGTGCCTTAGAGACACTTTTTATTTAGTTTAGTTTACGTGCAGGGTTTGCGCAAACGTTTCTAACATAAAAAGCTGGTACTAAAATGAAAAAGAGAGTAAAGAGAAACCAGTTGGCGAGGAATGAGGAAGAAGAACACGAAATTAATAGCATGGTCGAATAGTCATGAGGATTGTGAGATCTGATGACAAATGGGGCAGTGGAAAATGAATAAAAATAAATTGAAACAAGAAATTAAATTGTTCTCTCCTCTCCTGCCGTCACCTCAATTTGTATTTCCTTTGGGCACGAGGAAAGTGGTGAATAAGAAAGGCCGATGTAAAAATGAAAAAGTAAGTAAAGGCAAGCCAGTTGATGAAGAAGTTAGAATGATATAGTGATATTGCCCCCAGGGCACATCTCCAAGTGGTAAAAGGGGAGGGTGGAGAAATCCAACTTTACTTGAGGCTGCCGCTTCAAGGGTTCAAATCCTGAAATATGGATTTGGTTTTTGGGTAAGTGCAAGTGTACAAGCAGCCTTCCACCCTATATCCTTGGAGGCATAACCTGCGATTTACCTCCCTCACGATATTCCAGGACAAGGGCGGTGGGGGACCCTCAAAGTTGGGGTTCAACCTTTTTAGAATGATATAGTGATATTAATAGCATGGTCAAGGAATCATGGGGACAAGTTTTCTCCAAATTTCCCGCCGCCACCTCAATCTGCCATTTCAAGTAGAGGCTAGCAAAATGGAGAATAACATAGCTTTTTCAAAATGAGGATAATGTATTTAATAGAGTAGTGTTGTCAAGTCTTAAGAACTTAGGTCATCTAACCAAAATTTGAGATAGGTTTTGCACCATTTTATATCAAATTTTGCATTAAACTCATCTCTAACTATTACACCAAAACTTACACCAAGTGAACAGTGTTTGATCATTTTTTTTATTCTTAATAATTTATTTATTTGAAAAAATATTTCTTTATTTATTTTACCTTATTAAATAAATATTTACATTAAATTAACAAAAATATTAAATTCATTAATAAATATAAAAATACATAGTACAATTAATAGAAACACTACAAAATAATTTCTATCAATTTTTTTGTATTATTATATTAAATAATTCATTAATTATTATTTTTTACATTATTAAAATTTATTTTATATGCACCTAATAATAATAATAATAATAATAATAATAATAATTTATTGTATTAAAAAATATACAACAAAAATGGCACAAATACCCTCCATCAATTTGTTTGGCAAATGAAAAAAATGGTAAAATTGACTTTGCACCAAAATCGTGCAACTTTGGTGCCACACTGGGGAGCTTTAGCACCAAAATTTTGGCACATTTTGGTGTTTTGATGTTTTCTTAGGAGATGCTGGAAGCCTAATGCAATGAATTAATTATTTTGTAATGATCTACTAAAGATTTATTTGTAACCGTTGAATTTAATTTAACGATCTTCAGCTTTTGTCTTTTAAAAATGGGTTGTCGTAGAAGAGTCGTGTCTTCTCAAAATTGAAGTCGTCAAGTCTCTTTATACTGCACGAAGTCACTGATAATAATAACAAATTCTCTCTCCCCTCTCTACATAATCAAACGTATATTTTGCATATCATTACTGTAAATAGAAAAATCTGAAATTGTAATCTTTAGTTAACAATTTTAGAAATCTTGGAAGGCTACCAACAATTAAGGTATTATGATTATCATCAAAAGTGCAGTCTCTAGATAATTTGGGCTCTGTTGTGTCTTGAGATAAATTCGGAAGAAACATGTTTTCCACATTCCCGTTAGGGATAAATATTGTTTTAAGGACAACGTGATCATTTGTCAGCTTGAAGACAATTTTTATTAAGCTCGAAAATCATGTGCAAAATTCATGTGAAATTTTCTTGCATGAGGAAGACTGACACGAAAATGAAAAGAGAGTAAATGGAAGCCAATTGGCGGGGAAAGACACACGAGATGGTGAAATTCAAAGGTCGTGGAATCATGGGATGGTGAGAATTGACGGGATATGGTGAGAACTGACGGAAGATTCACATAAGAGTGTCCATCCATGCTATGTAAAACCTTGAAAACAACAATACTATTTTTGTCCCATTTCTGCATAATCAAACATATATTTTAATTTGCATATTACAAGATAGGGGTAAATACTGTTTAAAGGACAATGTAACTTGGTGTTCACGCAAACTTTTCTAACATAAGAAAGGCCAATATAAAAATGGAAAAGAGGGTAAAGGGAAGCCAATATGTGATTAAGGAGGAAGGAGATGGTTTCATCATGGGATGGTAAGAATTGACTAGAGATGACGCAAAGGAAATGAATTAAAATTGTGAAGAAATGTGGCACAATGATGTTGGGCTGACTTAATACTTCTGCTAGGCTGCCGGGCCGGTTAGTCTAAGAGATAAATGGTTTAATTAAGAGGAAATTACAAAATTCCAGGTGTTTAAAGACTAGAATTCAAAAATCAAGGATCAAGTTTTATTATTCATAAATCAGGTATTTAATAAATAAATATATCCACCAATTTCAAACCTTTTTTCTCGTTTCTCTCTTCTTTCTCTCTAAACACACAGTGACAGAGGATTTGAGCTTTACAGCCATGGTTTTGGGGATTTTGGTTTGTGTTTTGTTGCGGGTAGTGGTGCTAGTTGTGGCAGTGAGCTTGCGGTGGTGATTGTGGTGACGATTTTGAGCGGCGCCAATGGTGGAGGTTCTGGTGCGCCCCGCGATGAAGCTGCTCACCCATCAACGACTCAGATGATGGCGTTGTAGTCGCCGCTTGAGATCTCGTGCTGCAGCAGTGATGACAATGCGATGGCGATGCTTATGAGGTCTATATTCGAATTTCGGTGCAGTGATGTAGTGCTCACTGCGACCACCCTTGACTGCCGTTGTACGCAATAGTGCTTCGTTGCCTAAGCCGTTGCATTGTGGTATTGCATTCTCTGTGCAATGTTGGGTGGTTGTGGTCACAAAGAAGAGGTGGTCGTGTTGGCGGTGGAGACGGTGGTGAGGTTGTGAGTTGTATAGTTGGTGTGGTGGTCGTGGTGGTTTTTGGTGGCGACGGAGGCATTAGTGTTAGCAGTGGTGATGTGGGTGGTGTTGGTGAGGTTGTGGGTTGGGTATTGTTGGTGTGTTTGGTGGTGGCAGTCGTGGTGGTTTTTGACGCCAAAGGTGGTTTAGTAGTGGTTGTTTTGATTTTTGTTGGCATTTGATTTGATTTGGAGGTGGCAATTTGCTGGTGTTGGTGGTGGTGTTGTTGTGGAGGCGGCGACGGTAACATGGAGAGAGCGGTCGCAATTGGCCGTGATGGTAGTGGCAGTGCAATATTATTGGTGATGGTGGTATATGACCACTATTTGACGCATGTGACCAGTCATTTAGTTATATGTGACAAATTGTTTAAGTGTGATATAAGAATCTGACAATATGTAACCAATTAATTATGAATCGAAATAATATGTGACCTGTGAATTTTTTTATCTATGATCTCGAAATAATCTGTGACCTACAAAATTTTGATTCGACCTCGAATTCATCTGTGGCCAATGAATTTGATTATATGTGACCAAATAAATAAATTTGTAACCTATAATTATGAATTTGTGACCATTAATCGTGTAACTGTGACTATATTATCTTTATTTAATAAATATTTTTAATTAATTAAATATATACCTGAATTTTTAAATTTCAAACTATGTACTTGAATTTTGAATTGATGTAAATAATACACCTGAATTATGAATTATTCCCTTTAATTAATGTTGGCAAAAATCGTGTTATTAAAACACGCTTTCTATACAATTGAAGCAATGGTTATGATCTTGCCAAGTGTTGTATTACTCACCGTTGGATTGCAAGACTTCTAGGGTCTTCTACTTAACCCTCATTAGGGTTCCTGGACATGCTAGAATTTGAATTTTTCACTCTCTCTCTCATTTCGCCGCTTCATCTCTCTCAAAAGACGATTCTCCTTCTTTCAATCTAAAGAATCTGTTCAAGAAAGCTTCTCTCGATATGAGCCCCAAAATTGTATTATCTTGAGTGATTTGTACAAATTATCTTCATATATTCTTGAGTAAATGGTTGTATCGATTAGTGAGGCTTATGTTGAATAATCTTGAGTGATATTCTGAGTGCTACGAGATGTACAATTTGGACAGTTTCATTGATTCGTTGATATAGGGATTTTTTCAAATTTGACGGAAGCTCAAAAGGGGATTAGGAACGAAGTTTCGAACCTCTTGCCTTAGGGCAAAAAATCCTGTGTTCATCTTTTATTTTTCTGCTATTTCTTTCCATTTTTCACTTTTTTACGTTTATCAGTTTCGGTATTTTTGTTGATTAAGCTCGTTGGTTTATTGTGAACTTCACATTACAATGGTATCAGAACTCATGATGGGGGACTCTTGGTACTGGTGTCAACAGATTCGAAGAGTCCTCGAACTGGATCAGTAAATTTCGGTTGCTCCTTGAAACCCTAATAAGGGTTTTTTGGTGAGTTCGTTCCAATTATCTTCAAGTTACAGTATACCTTACTTGACTATATCACAGGACCCTCGCAATTGTTGTAAAAATTAATAAATCGAAGACTTCTTAATAGTACCTTTGTCCAGAATCCGTGAGTTGTCTGGAATATGAGGGCTATCTTTAGTAAAGGTCGACGGTTTAATATTTTTTTTATGATTCTTGCAAGTATCTTGTATAGAATGTATAAAGCATATTGTGATTATATTACTGTGACTTGACAATTTGCTGTTTTTTGAGTAAACTGCTTATTTGGAAATTGAATGAACTGCTAAGTGTTACTGCTGAATAATTTGTGACATACAACTTGCTGTTTGTACACTTTATATTGATTATTGTGTATGACATTTGAGATACTGCATGTTGTAGATATTGTTCAAAATTTATGTGATATGCCTGCACTGTCAAAAATCAAATTGTGTATAGATTATGCCAACTAAAGTTGAATTGAAAATCTTTAAAGGTAAAGGAGACTTTAGTCTCTGGCGCTAGAAAATGAGAGCTCTTTTACTTCAACAAAAATGTGCAAAAGTCATTGATGAGTCATGGCCTGATGATAAGGAAGAAACTAAGAAAACTAAACTTGATGAAACTGCATGGAGTTCTATATTCTTGCATTTGTCTGACAATGTGTTAAGAGAGATTGGTGAGATAAAAACTGCTGCCGAGTTGTGGAAGAAATTGGAAGATACTTATTTGAATAAAATCATGCCTAATAAAGTGTATCTTCTAAAATAATTTTTTTGATTTCAAATTGGACCCATCTCTTGATGTTGAGGCAAACATTGATAGA